CCTTTAAATCCTTTGTCAGTATTACCAACATCCGAAATGATGAACAGCGCACTGCTATATTGAAAAGGAGAGGCGAATAGTCGGAAGCATTACCCAGTGCACAATCTGCCGTAGAAGGTCGACCTAATAATGCCTTCGCCCCTTTACCAATCTTTCATTTCAGAGAAAAGGCGTACGGGGTTGGAGAGTGTGTAGACGCTGGTGTAGTGAAATGCATTAATGTAACAGAGGACAACAGTCTAACAACGGCTATGCATCATCAGGCTTTGTCATTTGTTGCCGTGGCAGATGCCTACATATCGATATTCTGCACTGAAAAGGACATATCAACAGGTCACCTGACTCCTTCGATTAAGCTACCCGGATGTAACGATGGGTTAACCCGGGAGAGTTCCAATTGTGGAACAGAATTTGCTGCGATTTTCAAAGAAAACCGCGTTGATCTAAGGTTATGCAAGTACGTATGTGTAAAATCAAACCAGTAATGATTGTTATTGTAAGCACCAAATAACCACGCGTACCGCCAATTATCCATGTACAGGGGTTGTGCATTATCTCTATGTACATGTATGCTATTTCGCTGGTGGACATTCAAACTACTAGTACCTGATTTGTTTACATTATCGAATATAAATTGTATACATGTACTAATCATAGCGGGGCAGTATTTCGAAGAGCACTGGTATTTTTCACAATCAATCATTCATTGTGTCATGTTCAAAAAATGTAAATGAAAATTATATTTGTATATTTATCGTTAACGTTCCTTGATATTTCGATTTATTGGTAACACAAATATTCTTGTATATCCCATCAAACGAACATTACTACATGTTTATTCGTGACTATACTTGTACATATATAAAACAATAAAAAGACAATGGTTGCTAAAGCAAAATGCATCTCCGGTGGGATTCGAACCCACAGCCTCCGAATTACTACACCGCTAGAAGTCCGACGCGCTATCCGTTGCGCCACAGAGACGATCTGGCTTAGGACTCCAAATTTTCACGTGCCATTGGTCATTAGATTAAAAATGTTGCGACGATACAATAAAATTAATCACAACCTGATCTTTTTATCTGGTCTGTGTGATTTTCTAATACAATCAAATTGTGAAATGTTTCCAACTATTGTATTTAAGACACAAAAATGATCTCCAAAGATCGGTCAGTACGTTCAGCTGCGTTGAAACTTATCGTTCGGTTAAAAATGAATGAGAACAATCGCCGCGCCGGTTTTAGTTTACTCACATTCCCTCTGTCATAGATACAGAAGATATAGAAACTGTAGTGGTCATGGGCGGATGGGGGGAGGGGGCGATGAGGTGGTTTGTGAATTATCGCCGTATTACATATTATAGCAAAATATCATGGTTTTCAAATATAATATAATGGGTATTTTTAAGTCTTGTTACTCAGAGTAGCGCCTTGTTGAAGGACTGCGGTTGTACATTGCGGTTTACTTTGCTCATGCGTAGAACACGTCATTAATATTTCGCTTTGTCTTCTCCAGGGCTTTCGATGAAATGAACGAATGTCAGGCAACGATAATAAGAGACTATTGCCCTGACATGAATGAGACACAACTGAACATATACGTAGCACAGAGATCTGATATGAACTTCTTTTGCACTGAACACAATAAACAGACGAACTTGGACGATGCTTCAGAGGACGATGATGATTTTCTCGGTGCCAGTGTCGATGGGAACGGAACAGCAACATCTTCTGTTTTAGGAATTTCCGTCATTGTATTGTATATCGATTACATACTGTGCCTATGTTTGGTATGACGGAATCACAACTGGTCACATCTGTTCGGTTCTCTGTGCTTGTGTACATGTATATTTGACGCCAGGGCTTGTAACATCATATTGAATATTCATTATCACCATAGTCCGATGATTGCGATATCAGACCATTATTATCATTCTCCATATTTGGACATTAGGTGACGTCATTGCTGTACACTG